CCTCCTCCGCCCATTCCCCCCATTCCTCCTCCACCCATTCCTCCCATCCCTCCTCCTCCCATCCCGCCTCCTCCCATCCCGCCTCCTCCCATCCCGCCCATTCCTCCTCCTCCCATTCCTCCCATTCCCCCCATTCCTCCTCCTCCCATACCCCCGATCCCACCTCCACCTCCCATTCCCCCCATTCCCCCCATTCCTCCTCCTCCCATCCCACCTCCTCCTATTGCACCCATTCCTCCTCCCATCCCTCCTCCTCCATGTCCTCCTTGTTGCATGCCTGGCTTGGGACTACCCATCTGGCTCATTGGACCTCTGAAAGAGAAGAACAAAAACATTTTTACAACTTAAAAATTCCTGTGACTCTTTTAAAACTCCTAGATTGTTTTAAATCACATTTAATTTAGTTATTGAAGATCTGGATTCCATTCCCAGACAGACATTCCCTGATACAGTGTTCCATGTTTTCCATTACTAAAGACATTGATTACTCGAATAAAAACAAAATATCCTTTTAAATAGTCACAAAACAAACTTAAAGACACAAGGGTAATTAAATACTTTCTATTTCATTTTCAAAAATTCCCTGCAATCTGTCTATAATTGTTTGCTTTTACCAACTCAGCATTTTTATTGCCCAACTTTTCTTTTTCTTTTCAGTCAGCCCTAATAATAGCCTTGTATTATTGTGTTTCATTTATTTTTATGATAGTATCTCTTCTTTTTTATCTCTCCTCTTTTTTTATCTCTTGACATTTTTCATTTCCACTCTTAAAGGAGAAGCGAACCCTTACTGGCACTTTTTGTCTTTCTTTAACTTAGAATACCTGTCAAAGTCATACAAGTACCAAGGTGGCAATGAAAAAAGTATACAAATATTATTTAACAAAGCAAGGCAATTCAGAAGCTCTTTTAAAACAGTTATCTGTGTTCCTTAAATGATGGAGTATTAAAAATAAAAACAGGCTGTAAAGCATATCTTCTGTTATTAGTGGTGTTCACTATTCATTTTGTTTGGGAAGTTTTACCTGACTACCAATTTAAAGTTTCAACAATTTCCTGTGGGATCAATAAAGTTCTACCTTATCATATCTTAACTTATTGTATCTTACCGTACCTTAACGTATCTTACCGTATCTTGTCTTATCATATCTTTTCGTATCGTAACGTATCGTAACGTATCGTAACGTATCGTAACGTATCGTAACGTATCGTAACGTATCGTAACGTATCGTAACGTATCGTAACGTATCGTAACGTATCGTAATGTATCGTAATGTATCTTATTCATATCTTATTCATATGTTATTCGTATCTTATTCGTATCTTATCGTATCTTATTGTATCTTATCCTGTCTTATCATATTGTACCGTATCTTTTCTTATTGTATCATACGTATCTTACCGTATCTTACTGTATCTTACCGTATCTTATCATATTTTATTCGTATCTTAACGTATTTTATCGTATCTTATTGTATCTTACCGTATCTTATCATATCATACCGTATCTTATTGTATCTTTCCTGTATCGTACCATATCTTGTCGTATCGTATCTTATCTTATCTTATCTTATCTTATCTTACCATATCTTATCTTGTCTTATCTTGTCATATCGTATCTTATCGTATCTTGTCATATCTTGTCATATCTTGTCATATCTTGTCATATCTTGTCATGTCTTGTCTTGTCTTGTCGTGTTGTATCGTATTGTATCTTATTCTTATATTATTCGTGTTTTATCATATCTCATATGAAGTATTTCAAGAATAGGAATGTTGATTTTCAGGTCAAAATAAAATATGATCTATGAAATGTGGTTTATGCTCTGCATGTATTTTGTCTTGTCTTGTCGTATCTTGTCTTGTCTTGTCGCATCGAATTGTATCTTATCTGTATCTTACCGTAGATTACCATATCTTTTCATATCTTATATCTTATTCATATCTCATTCATATCTTGGTTGTTTTTTAACGTATCTTATTGAATCTTATCGCATCTTATCATATCTTACCATATCTTACCATATCTTATTCGTATCTTATTTGTATCTCATTTGTGTCTTGGTCGTATCTTAATATATCTTTTCATATATTATCATATCTTACCGTATATTACCATATCTTACCTTCTTGTCTTATCTTGTTTTATCTTGTCGTATCATATTTTATCGTATCTTGTTCGTATATTATTCGTATCTTATCATTTCTTATCTTATCTTAAGTATTTCAAGAAGAAGAACATTGTTGACTTTCGGGTCAAAATAACAAATATGTGGTTTATACGGTGGCCACTGTAGGTTTATGTTCTGAAAAATAAAAATAAGATGGATTCAGAAAAGAAGAGAACACAACTGAGTCCCTATAACTGAATTAACTGAATTGATTTCAGAATTGCAAGTCTTTCCCTATTTATTATAAAATATAATAAGTCCAGTGCTTTAAATTTTAGAAATCAGAGTTAGTTTGTGTCTTTAAAAGAAAGCCATAGAGGCTGAATATCAATTTAAATGCAAACACAAACAAAAAAATCTACAAAACTCACACACAGGATTCCCATTCATCTTGTTAAATGATAAACAAACAAACAACAAAAAACAACAACATGGAAACATTATATCACCCAGCCAAAAAAATTGGCATGTCAAAATTAAACAGCCAACAAAAGCTTTGGCAGGTCCAACTCTCAGAGAACTGGCAGTATAAATACAAATCTGACTGAAAATCTGATCATAGAGACAAAGCAAATCCCACAAAAACGTTAATTTAAACAAATACATTGACAATTTTAACTTTTGAGACTTTTTGTGTTTATAAGGAGTATTCTTCCAAAGTCTTAGAGTTACGTAACATTTCTCTGAAATTCATTTAAATTTCATAACTTTCAAGTTTTTCTTGATTTATTAAGATTGCAGGTCTAACTCCTTTCAGATGAGCACATTCCTTATTCCACCTCCTGCAGCGAAACAAGTCTATTTAGGATACGGGCGAACTCAAACCAAACATCTATTTCCTCCACCTCCTCTGTTCCTAATATGCCTCCACTTTTCCCCACTCTGGGCTGTTGACAAGATTGCTTTTGTACAGCCCATTTATTTCCATCTGCCTGTTCTCCCTCCATTCTCTCCACCTCACCTCCCATTAGTTCTTTTCTCTCTTTGCTTTCTTCTCACTATCCCACCCAATATCTGAGAGGCACGCAGTTTGCACAAATTAAGTTCAACCAAAAGGAAAATTATATATATATATATATATATACATACATATAAACAATAATAACCATAACATTTGGCACCTTTGGGGGTTGATGTAGTCAGTAGCGTTCATCAGAAACTGATCTTTGAACGTGGTTAGCTTTGACACAGATAAAGGCTGCATGTTTAAATCCTCCATTTGTTCACTACAGTATATGGTGAGTCCAGTTTGTAGTATTGTTTGAATTCTTACTGTAGCAGTTTTGTGTCAAATGTTCAATTCAGTTTGCTCACATTCTGCTTTTTGGAAACTCTAGGAACTGCAAGTAAGCCTGCAGTCTGAGAGTGAAGTGCTCTGTTAGAAAAATATGGAACAATAAGATCTGTAATGTAAGATGGAACTAGGTTGTTGAGCGCATTGTAGGTTAGAAGTAAGATTTTAATTCTATTCTGAATTTGACAGGGAGCCAATGGAGAGAAGCTAAAACTGGAGAGATATGATCTCTCCTACTAACTCCCATTAAGTTGTCAGGAGTAATACTATCCACTGTGTAGTGCTCTAGAAACTCATCAGGTGGTACAATAAAAATTGTGTTGTGCAATACAATAGCTGAAGTAGACTATAATACATTGTGGACTTGTTTTATGTTACCACAGCAGCATCACTTCTAGTAATGCTCACTTTTCTGGTCTTTCTTTTTATCTAAGTCGGTTCATCCCTTCAGTCATTCCTCTGCTTCTTTTACTCAGCTCTACACACACGTCTCAACATTCCCTGCTTTTTTTCAAAGGACCAATGTGTATTTTAAATCAAATTTTGTAGCTGGTCCACAATTGGCACCACTTCTGGTTTGGCCTGGGCTGAGAGAGCTGCCAGAATTTGGCATCCGATGCTTTTTGTTTGTTTGTTTATCCATGTTCCTCTACCAGATACTGTAAATCACAACTCAAGCAGAGCTCATTAAATGCGGTTCCTACGGGCACCAGGTTGGATAATTGCAACCAGTGCATGCAGGAGATGTTAAAAATGAATGAATATACAAATTTGAGCATATCACCAAGTGGTAGTTTCTTTCAGCAAACACCTTGGAAACTTTTTTTTCTCTCAACAACGTTTCTGATTTGGCATCCAAGAGTTAAGGTTCAACTGAGTTCTATTAATTTATCTGGTTAGTATGCTTCATTTGAGATGGAGTGGCAGCTCTTAGGAAGCACTTTCAAGGAAAACAATATCTCAGAGCAAAAAATCATTACTTATTCAGTCACAATTTTAATAACATTCTTTTATCAGTTTACTTAAAGCAACTTTTAAAGCATTATCCTATAAGAGCACATGCGCTGG